TATCTCTTCTTATTCTTTCCCTACCAGCCAACTACCCACCCATCGCCTGCTCCCATCACCTCCTCCATCTCTAGAGGAGAGGGACTCACAGTTTCAGGAGCTGTAGTGAATTATTTTAGAAGACAAAAAACATCAATAATAATGAGTCAGTCTTTTTAGCATCCCATTTTACAACTTACAGTTATATGTTTGATTCTATAGTCCTTTTTTCTTGAATGTTAGAGTCCAGAATCTTACTGTATTTGAAAATAATCTGCCCTGAATTACATTTAATACATTTAATGGCTCTCTGGGAACTAAATTTGTCTTAGTTGTTTGGTAGTTGCTGTGGAATGAGGTGCTGAGTCTTGTGTCCTTTCTCTCTCTGTATAATTTGCTAGCTATATTCCTAGGCCCTCAATTCCAGCACAGCATGTGTTCTGATCCATAATAATTGTGTGAGAACCAAGGCAAAATGTCTGTTCCCTGCCAACTCTCTACCAGAAAACCATGATCATTAGAAATAGCACTTTGATTTCTGGTACAAAGAGAAGCTTGTGATTTCTTCACATTTACAAAATACTCTATGAACCAAAGAGCACATGCTCTTCTCCAGTGTCTTCCCTTTTAGGGTATATAAATTTGCTGTTTCTTCCCTAGTGTTAAAAAGACCTTGGAATTTTTCCTAGGGTCATCTTGGTGTAGCTGAGTTGTTTTCTAGTCCCTAAATAATCATTACAACCTGTAGGCAGTCCTTCCCTTCCCTGTCTCCTCCATAATCCTAATCCATTTGGAGGCAACTATCCTGTGACCTCCAAATAAATAAAACATGTCTCTCATTTTTTTCTGATGGTGAGTAATAGCAGTAACATCCCAGTGAATCTTACTAAGAGGTGAGCTAGATGCACCTTGCTCACCTAGCTCATCTCTTAGAAATAGCACACAAAGTAGTATCCTAAGCCTGTTTGGTAAAATAATAAAAATAAAAAGAGATGCTACTCAGTGCTGCATTTTCTGCACCTTGGTTTTTTTCAGTTATCAATTACCAGTATTAGTTGATACTTCAGACTATGTCAAATGCCCGCTTGCATAGGCCTCTACATTGGAAAAATTAGGACAGTGTACTTGGTTAGTTTGTAGGAGCTAGAAACATGTGCCATATGCAGGTGGAAGACACTGTCTGGCACTGCATGTTTTCATGGCCCAGCCTACACAGTTCAGAGAAATCTGTTTGGGTTCCAGGGCCATTTGCTTTTCATCTTTTGTCAGGATCAACCAAAATCCTCAAGGACAGTGTTTTTTCAAACTGTAGGTCATAAAATCAATATAACAGCTCAAGACCAGCACATTTTTAAAATGGAATAGAAAGAAAAGAAAGGAGTAATAGAGCATGTCAAAAGGTTAAGTATTATCTCCTGAAATAGTTGTTTCAGTTAAATAAATAATCTATATACTGTGTGTACTGGGTCACAATATATTGTGTTTTCTATTGTGAAATGCAGTATTTAAAAAAAAGAAGGAGCTTTAAAGACTGCGATAGGAGACATGGGCCATCCAGTGATTATCAGAACAATCTGGATAGTGTGGAGCCAGATCCTTGAGAAGTCTTCAGGTTATGAGCACTGTCTTTTTCTTTAGTGTAAGAATTTAGGATCGCTCTTGATTTGGTTTATGAAATGTTTTCCTTTCTTGCTGTTCATCAGATAGCCTCAGATGATTCAGTGGGACCAGAAAAAGCATAGAAAAATTGGATCTACAAACAGAATTCAAATTCAGGCTGCCTGGTATCATTTACCTAGATGTATTTCAACCTCTTTACCACTAAGCATTTTACTAGAATTGGGAACAGAAGTTTTCATTTTGAGGAAGTTGAATTTTCTCCATCTGCCTTTTGGCTGATTCATCACATAGGTGGCAAAGGCCTTTAAAAATGTGGGGCTAACATAGGGCACATTCTTACAGGGCCAAAATACTCATTTGCTGGGGGGTGCTATATAAATGTCAATGCATTTTAACGAACACAATGGATTTCCTCCTTTCTTTAAGATCCAAGTAGAAAATGTTGATAACCTATATTCCATATGCAGGACTAGAATTTAGTCAATTCAGGATAGAATTTAGTCAATCTGATTTTCTTTGGTGCTATTTATTCAGTATCACATATATCTCTTTAAAAGAAAACCCATTCGCTCTCCTGCCTAATCCTTTGAAATATACTTTTGAAGTTATTCCTTGTTAATGCCAGCCTAATCAAGCTAGGAGTAGCCAGTTAAAATCTCATGATTTTTGTAATCTGTATTTTCAATTGTTGGCCAATATGGCTATTTGTACAAACTCTTTTTCCAGCTTTTCTTTCTGTCACAATTAGTGACAGACAAGTAGTATTTGTTTCAGGGCTATCTGAAAAGCAAGGCCAGCACATTGCAAAGATGCTGAATCCTACTCTATTACAAACCTCATTCATGTTTATTTAATTGAAACCTTTTTCTACTTTATTTACTTTTTTGTAAAATAAATTGTTCTGTGTCATTTAAAAAAATATTTTTCTTTAGAATTATGGATTAGTTCTACTTTTTTAAAAGCATTATGGCATTTTCAAAAAAGTGATGATTTTGATTACCCAAAGAACTACATGAGAAATGTACCTTCAAATTTTATAGGTTGATAGGGTGTATTTTTAAAGTTTTTATTACTTTATACATATACAAATTAATTTGTATTATAGTTTAACACATGCTATGATAGATATCCGACTACTATGATAGAAAATCTCTGTCACTGAACCATTCATTTAATATTACTCTGATACCTTAATAATGTTTTCCTTCTAGTGAAGTCCTTGTAACAAGAAACCCTATGAGATTGGTATAATGAAATTTCCAATAATCAGAAGTTTACTTAAAATAAAACGTGTTGGAAAACCCCAACATTCTGTTAGGCCGTCATACTTCCAGTGTTCAGTTGGTTATCCAAAGTTCACAATTCTTGGACCGACTGAGAAACATTCAAGTAAAAATGTGGCATAGATTGATTGCACTGAAATACTCTCAATGTCAATGATTTTATACTCACACTCACAAACTATTAGAAATTGTATCTGGGACTTGTTACAAGGTCAGATAGATTGTTAAGACTTTTTAAAATGATCATCTCTGTATATGACTGTTTATTACATATAAAAATGAATTTTTCAGGAAAGGTGCACTTTAAAAATACTTTCTCTTGCTAATATTTATATTGACCAAATAGTCTGTGCGTCTTCGGAATGCTTATTCTTTGGTGAAAATATGGTCATTGATTATGATAATTAGTTTTATAAATATTTCTGCATTGCTGCAGTATTTCCTTCACTTTTCTGTTCCTTATCTCTCTTTTATGTGGGCTCTAATCAGTTGCCTGTTACACAGTCTCTGCCTTGGTTTTGTGCATTCTAATAAGATAATTTATAAACACACATATTTATAGTGAACTTCTTCCTCTTGAAAATGACCTTAGCCTTGTCTTTCCCCTCCCCCCCTAAAAATTGGTTGGTCATGCTCACTAATGACTTTTTTCTAAGCAATAATTATTTCTTGATACTGGTAGATTTGGATTGCATGGTAAGATGACTGCCCTTTTTAATCATGTATGCCTTTTTCAAATAAATTGAGTCAAATAAAGATTTCTGATCTTTAGTGTGCTTCTGTTTTTAGTGTTGGGATAGAACGGAAGTAATATCAATAGCCTTCACTTGCCTATCCAAATTGTACCCTCCCTGGGTCCTAAATAAATGTGAATAAGTAGCACATTGCCCAAGATCCTGATTTTTCAGTGAAAGCAGACAGCATTTCAGCCCAGTATGATTATTGCTGACTAAAAGCTTTGGGTGGTAATACTTAGTGAATTCTTAACTACCAGTGCTGTACCTGTCAATCTGAGAAAACTTCAAATGGCTCATTTCCTCAGTAAGTAATGAACATATTTTAAAAGAAAGGGTAGGGGAGAATTTTCCACCTGCAGAATCAGTATTGGCAGAGGTAATTAATTCACCTCTGCTATGGAGGGTTCAGCCTTTCCTTAAGAAAATAGATTATTGTTACCACACTTTGAATGATTAATTCCAGACAGCCCTTTAGCAACTAGAGTAATTGAAAGCCATCATTTTCTTTTATGCTTTAAGTGTCAGCCAATAACTCAATGCTAGAAAGTGCTTGAAATAAAAAACCAGGATACCATATTGTTTAATTTCCCTGATTACTGGATTCTGTTGAGCCCTCTTCATATGTTAATTAGCCACAACCTTAGCCCATTGGGAAGGAGGAGTTGTCTTGCTTTTTGTTTATATTTCTAGATATCCTGAAGAGCCACATACCCATCCCTTTGTTGTCTTGTGCAAAACTATCTTGGTTATCGTGGACCTTTACTGTTCTAGACAAATTTTAACACTGGTTTGTCAGATTCCATAAAAATTCTTGCCATTGCATTTATCTCTTGAGTGAGGAGTCGTTTTTAAAGCTTATTGTTGCTATTGTAGAATCACTACAGATGAGCATAATTTCAGTTTTTCCCAGCACCAATGCTCTTTAAGAACTTCACATTTGGAATTGTTCCCACAGAGTAAGAACCTGACAGTCCAGTAATTGGCTGAAAGCAAGGCTTAGTGCAGCTGTAGGAATGCTGATGCATTATGGAACCAATCCAGGTACGTTGTATAGACTGATTTCAAAGAGATACATCACAGCTTAAATCCCCAAATGTGTATGTGTGTATCTTCAAATGAAAGGCAGAAACAAACCCATCTGGGCCTTTAGTTTGAAACACTGTGCTTCCCAGAGGATTCTGCTTTTGCTTTACCCAGCCAGCTACTAAAGGAACTCCAACATAACATGATGAATAACAGATTTGCCCCAAAACGAGGAAACTTAGTTCTGTTTCTGCATTACTAACGATTAAGACCACCTTAAGAGAAAAAAGCATTTTTCTTTTTAGGAGCAGAACTATCAATCAACCATGAGCTCTAAGAAACACAACATAATCCAGAGTTAATAGCAGAGTGGTATATTCTTAGCCTCCTCAGAAAGGCATAGCATACATCATTCAAACACAGCAAACTGTGGTGGCCATCAGAATTGTGGGACAGGTTACATAATATCCGTTAAACAATTTGGGTTTTTAGCCATTTCATAAGTTTACAAGACCTTGTCAATATACATTGGGGAAAAAAATATATACACACACACAAGCGACATACACATTTTTCAACATAACATATGCTATCTACATACAGCCTATACGTCAACTTTGGCTTCATGCTTATCAAAATGTGGCAAAACTAAATTAAATATACTGATATATTAATTGGGCTTAGAAAGTTAACACACAAAGAATGAACTGTTTTAAAAAAATCTTTGGTGGCATATTAAAGGAGTTCTTTAGTGTGAAGAGAGAAAAATATTCAATTAGAAATGTCTCTACATTATAAGATTTAATAAAAAGCTTCAAACCGATTAATATTCTTTAAAAAAAAAAAGTCACCCAAATTAATTCTAGAGGTCTCCAGGCATGATCTATAAATTAACCAGCCCCTCTGTTGCATAATTTTTGATGGCTATTTTTAAACACACTTAAAATTTAATTTTAAAAAAAAACAGTAAATCACAGTGGCCTTTAAAAATTCTATATAGTACCAAATTCAGAGATTACACAAACTGTAAGAGTTGTGTCTTGACACAAAAGTCAACAAAAGAATTATAAAAACAACTTGAGAATTAAAGACTTAAATATGTTGGTAAACTCAAATTTTATCTTCCAAGTCCTAACACCCTTCTCTCTCCCTGTGAGCTGCATGATGTCCTTGGTTCCTGGCACAGGGGGCTGGCTCAGGTGGTGTCAGAAGCACTTGCAAATAAAACAAGAAGAGCTTGCAAACCATGTCTTCTGTTACAGGGGAGGAATGCGCAGCAGCTTTTAAACTAGGTTGAATTCCCTCAGGTTGAGTTGGAGAATTGTGTCTTTGACAGCAGCAAACACAAAGCGGATATTCTCTGTATCTGTAGCACACGTGAAGTGGGAGTAGATGACTTTCTCTTTGTCGGGATTCTGATCTTGGTAAAGCTTCAGGATGAAGTCTCTGGCAGCTTTGACATCCTGCTTTGGTCCTAGTCACAAGTGTAATTAGAGGAATAAGACAGACTCTCCATCATGTCCTCTCAAGAACTGTTTTTAAGGTCCTCTTGTTCTTATTGGGGATCCTTCTTTGATTTTACTTTTTATTTCTGGGGAATAATTTACCTGGAACATTGTTTTTATTGCATCTCATTATGAACCCATAAAACAGTAGTATTTTAAAGTACCCCTCAGGTATCTAAAAATTGTACTTTAAGATGATTTGTTTAAAAATAGTGACCCAATTTAATTTTCTGATTTGGACCACTTGTGAAGAGAAATAACCATTATTAACTTACACAGACAGACAGATGTGGGCTGGGAGTGGGAAAAGGAAGAATGTGGGAACTAACCTTATTAGGCTCATTTTAAAGCTTGAGAGCTCTAATCCTGTAAATATGAATGCCAAACTTAACAATACTTGAGACCTCCTGTACCAGAAATAAATTAGCAGTAGGGCACGAAACTCTCCTGCCTTGGACAAGTTATGTAAAAAGAACTTGAGAGTCCACCCCGTGTCTGGGAATGGGGATTGCCACACTTTACCCTACATGTAAGAAGTGCCCGGTGCTCGGACTGGCTCGGAGGCTGCAAAGATAAACGGGGCACAGTTCTGCCCTTGAAGAGTTGACTGGGAAGAGGGCTGAGTAAGCAGGTAGCTGTGTATAATAATACGCTGCACAGCGTGATGACGGCCATGCCAGAGCAAGGGGAGCCAGGCTGCAGGAAGGAGGAGGCAGCCCTACTGTGGGGCAGCCGGGCAGGAGAGGGTCAGAAAGGCTCCCCAGGGGAGGAGAGGCCTCAGTGGGGTCTTGGAGAACGAACCGGGAGTCAGCGAGAGGAGTTAGCAAGTGTGCTCCGGGCACTGAGAGGCGTGTGTGGAGGTGCTGAGACGCTAACACACAAGGTGCAGCCAGAGCTTCCGTTCACAGGGGGACACGGGCTGTTCCAGGCAGCTCAGGGAGCCGCTGTGAGCTGGCACCTCTGGACCGATGCCCGGGAGGTGGACATGATCGACACAGAAACATTGCCCACAAGATGAACACTTACCTGTGTATTCTGGGAAATAGCTGATTAGATGAGAGTACATGATCTTCTCTTCCAGAAGATCTTTCTTATTTAAGAACAAAATCACAGATGAGTTCAGAAACCAGGGGTAGGTGATGATGGTTTTAAATAAGGCTTTGCTCTCTTCCATGCGGTTCTAGGTGAGAAACAAGGGACTTAGGATAAACTAGAAAGAAAACGGTACTTTAGAAACAACTTGCCAAATCGCTGGTCTATCCTCTCGTCCTGCTGCAGTCTCTGGTCCCTGTTCTGCTGAAGCTGGTGAGCACATGTCGGTCCCTGGCACCCGGCCGCCTGCTTCTGATCCCCGCCTCCCCACCCTCTAATGAATCACCCTCTAATGAATCCCCTCGCCTGTTGCACCCCAACTCTTCTCTAGCCCCAAACAAACATGTAAGGAAATAAGAAAGGCTTCAATGCAACTTGGAGAAGGAAGGTTCAAACCCACATCTGACAAAAGTTTTCTGTGTCATGTGATTGTTGGGATTACCGAGTGGGGAAGTGCCAGCTTCAGACTTGAGATGGCCACTTTAGTTGGCTTCCAGACAGGAAGGAAGGGAGGGAGGGAGGGAGGGAGGCTCCAGCCCTTCTTCCAGCCACTGCCCTCAGGAATGCTAGCCGCTGGCAGAGACGGGCACCAATGCTCCTGAGCCACCCTGTGCCACACTTCACAAGCATGACAGTGTCCCCATTTGATGGCTGAGCACACTGTTGTTCGTAACATTTAAATAACTTTCCCCAGCCTATGTAATAGTGGGATCTGGTAAAGACTATGTAGGACAGTAATAATTTCTAAACATTAGACATAGGCCAGAAACTATTAAATGCTCCTAATTTATGGAGAGCAGACAAGGGTACATACAAATCTTATCTGGTGACAATACTTGTTCTAGGTAGCACTCTGCTCTCCCCCAAATATTTTTAGGAAGAAAGAAACAACTTCCCTTTAGGAAGGGGGAAGAGATCAGGCTAGAGAACTTCGAAGCTCATGCCATAAATCTCTATCTCCCTACAACAACCAGACACCCAGGCTCATTTTCCAATTAATACATTTTGGGGATTAAGATCTGGAATATATTACCAGAGAAGCAACCCCTCACCTGTTTGTAAAGCTTCTTTAAAATTTATTATGATCTTATCCATAATGATCTTCAAGGATATGCAATATATGAAAAAAAATTCCTGTACAGCAAACTGAGTGGACACACTACAAATCCACAACCAGGAGGGGAAAGTCAGGAGTGGCAACCACTTAATCTTTCTCAAAATACCTTGTGGTTTTTAGAAGAGGAGAAAATGTTTAATTTCTAAGCATATTAAGCTGAGATACTGGTCCCTTGTGCGCCTAATATTTTGAGTTTCCTGAGAAATGTCACAAGTAATTTCGAGACAGATTTGGAACTAATTCTTTATATTGATAACCGGATGTCTTTCATTAAAAAAAAAAATTCCCCACTTGGGAGAGCTGGCCGGCGGATTTCTGTTCTTTGCATACTGATACAAGTAAATGGGTTAATCCTCACTAATTAGGTAATATAAATGAGCTCCTCTGAGAAAAGTCTGCTCTCAAGAAATACAAGATACAGTTTGTTCATAGTTATTGCCTGATCCTAGACAGAGTTCTTTGTTGATTTGCTTTTATGCCCTGGAAACAAGAGATATCTTTCAAAAGGTCAAGAGATCTTGTGCAAGTTCAAGGAAAAAGATGATGAGGAGGACATTAGTATTCCATAGAAACCACCCCCAACCTCACAAAGAAGCGACCGTGATGGTCCTCCTCACTTTCCAGGCAGATCCAGCTAATGGATTTGGATGAGCCAGTGCTATGGCAGCTCGGAGGGGACACTGGGTTAGTCCCAGCTGCCCTGAGCGAGTCCCTCCCAGGGGAAGTAAAGGCATATGCAATCCCAGGCAGCCCAGGACTCTGCTAGGGACCGAATTTGGGAAAGCCATGGGCAGGCGGAGGCTGGGAAGCCTGTGCTCAGATAGCATTTATTAGAGGTAGTGTTGCTCAACTGTGGCTGTTCACTGGAATTCCTGGGGGGCTTGGAAAAGAACCCCCCCAAACTAAACCCAGTAAACATGAATCTCTAGTGTGGTGTCCAAGAGATGGCATTTTTAAAAAGCTCCCCAGGAGATTCCACTATGCTGCCAAGGAGGAGAACCTCTGCTTTTGAGTGATTTCCAACCTTAGCAGAGCGTTAGATTCACCTGGGGAGTTTTTGAAACAATCACTACTCTCAGGCTGCACCCAGCAACACTTAAATCAGACTCTCCGGGATTGGACTGAGGCTCTGAGGGCATCTCAGCGTGCATCCGAGTTTGAGAACTGGGGTTCTCGGCTAGTGACTTTCAATCTTTCTTACGTATCTGAATTTCCTCCAGTTTTGTTAAAACGTAGATTCTGATTTAGTCGGTCTGGACTGATTCGAGAGGTCTGTAGTTGTCCCAAGCACCCAGTCCACAGACTACGGTTTGAGTGGCAGGACTACTTAACCTAAGGAAGAGGCTCCACTGCCTGACCCGGATACCACAGAAATAGGTCTCTGGCTTCTGCAGCTACCTAAGCTCCCGACCCAGCCCGCGTACCTCATTGTCGCACTCAGCCAGGACCTGGTCATATTCGCTCAGAGCAACCAAGAAAATAATGGAGGTGACGCTCTCAAAGCAGTGAATCCATTTCCGTCTCTCAGATCTCTGGCCACCGACATCCACCATCCTGTTCAATAGAAACACAGATCCCTCCAGGGCATGAACCATTACACGGTGGGAATCAGTGCTCACCGGGGTCTTCGAGAGTGAAAAGGGGCCCTAAGTGTCCAGGGTTTGAACACCACCGCTTCAGGCAATGTGGGACCACGGGATGCTCCCTAGCAAATGAGGCACAGAAGGTAGCAGGAGCTCCTGAAGCCAGACGCAAAGGCGACTCGGTGGAGCCCAGTTGGGGACACGGGTTAGGAAGCTGCTGCGACAGCCCAGGCAGAAAACAAAGACACCCACATTCGGGTTTTATGCCAACCACTGTAGAGTCCCCGGGCACCAGATACACAAGGGACGGGAAAGCCAGCAGTCTCCCGGGTCCCCCCAGCTTTCTTCAGTCCCTGGGCCCCTTTTTGTTTTCATGGCTCCTCGAATGTATCCACTAATCCTTTCTGCATTAATAGATGCCACCCATTCTTCCCTATAAAGACCAGCAAGTGTCCTCTGTGCACATGGAAATCCAAAGGCTCCATCTGTGTCTTTGGGAAAGATTTCCAGGCACAACGCCCCAGGAATCCCAAGCCTGAATGCTCCAGGGGCCAGTTTATGGAGGCGAACCAAGCGGACCTCTCCGAAGCACAAAAGCACCCACTGCACGAGCGCCAGACACTGCGTGGGCCAAAGAAAATACACGGTGGGCAGATTCAGCCCACAAGCTGCCAGGTCACACCTCGCCCCCACCCCACCCCCTCACACACATAACTCCCCAATCCCTGAAGACACTGGACCAGTGCGGTTGGCGGCACTCCCCAGGACTGCTGTCCAGGAAGGTGCCAGAAAGAAAACCAAAAATCTACCCGTGTCCTTGCCCCACGTCCTGGAGACGCAGCCACTCCTGCAATGATGCATTCGAGGCTGGCTGTGCCACCTCGCAGCAGGGGGTGGAGCTGGAAAGGGGCATGCAATTGTCAAGAGGTTGGGCTCAAAGAAGCCATTCTATAAAGGCCTCGATTTCAAAGATCGGAATTCCTCCGTCAGAAAGATCCCGCTGGGGGGCGTGCTCTGAGCTGTGAAAGAACAGATGTCGCTGGTTGATAATGTTAAACCTGATCGCCAGGCCCCAGAAGGTAATGCAAAACCCACTCGCCAAAGCCCAAGAAAGATAAACATAGGAGAAATAAAAGTCTCTTTTAAAACAAAACAAACAAAAACCTTGGGAGCCCCTCTCTGAGGTTCTAGAAGTAACCGGCAGCAGTTGATTGTGAAAAGGTTTAGATAAGTTCATGGGCAGACAGGCACAGGGGCTACCGTTACAGTCAGTGAGTGGTCTGCTAACCAAGATACAGGACGTCTGCTGAGGGGCTGGACCAGAGGAGCCCCCTCCCATGACAGTTCTGAAGAAGTGCTGCGACATAACAGGGAACAAGCAGGACCTGGGTGTGGGAGGACTGGCCTTGTGCTGTCTCCACTAGAAAAGCAGGCGAAACAACCGTTAGGAGGAAGGAGGGAAATGATGTATATGAAAGTGCTTTGAAATTCTCAGTATGTGCCTCATATTATTGTTCATTTTTACCATAATTAAATACAGGGAAGATCTACTTAAGTCATCCCAAAAGCATTTCCTGTAAGCAGGAATGCATACATTTTTGCACAGCTGTAAGTAGTTTGTGTATGTTATTCTATGTCATTTTCATACACATTTTTGTATTCTTAGTTCCCTTTCTCTAAGGTTAAATCTTGGAGAAGGAAACAGAAGAGAAGAGAAATATTATTCGACCTTAAGGAAAAGACGTCAGAAATAAGTATACTCCATTTGTATAGCACAAAAGTACACACGTGTGTGTGTGTGTGTGTCACGTACAGATTATTCCCGTTTCCAGCAAGGAAATGAATGCTTCTTCTCTAAGGCTGACAGGAGGGCGAGTTGCTCTCCTTCCAGGACTTGGGACCTAGCACAGTTCCAAACACCCTGTGGCACAGAACATCCTTCTGCCCTGCGCGACACAAGCCCTCCCTGCTCAGGAAAAACGAGTTTAAGAATCCGTTTGGGGGCTTCCAAGCCGGGGCGGACGAACCCCCGGTGGAGCTCGTCGGGGAGGCGGTCTCACCGAAAGATGATGTTTTCCAAGTCGAACGGGTACTCGATGATGCCCGTGGTGGGCACGCGGACGCGGAGCACGTCCTGCTGCGTGGGCACGAACGATGGCGTGGCGATGCGGTCGATGTCCGTCAGGTAGCTGTGGGGTCAGAGGGCGAGGAGCTGGGCCTCCCTCTAGGGAAGGGAGAAGCGCCCACCCTCCTCAAAGGGGAGGCACCCCCAACTCACGGTGACCGCCCACAGACACGCGGACCCCATCAACCGCGTTCTCTCGAGAGCCAAGCCCCGGCCAGGCCTCTCCACCCTCCCTGCGACTGTCGTGAGGATAACAGGGACGAGAAGCCCTTTCCTGAGCTCTCTGGGCACGCGCAGGTCGCGCATCCTCCTCCTCCTCCTCCAGGGTTCCCAGCCCCCGCGCGCCCACTGGGGCCCTGAGGGAGACGGCGGGGCTGCCGGGGCTGGGACGCTGGAAGTGGCTCCCTCTGACTCCCCATCTGTCCTCCTCCCTCCCACGCGCCTCATCCGAGGAGGACCTTGTGTAATGGAGACGCTCCTCCTGCTCAATGAATTAGATAGAGCTTCTAGGAAAATATACAGACGTAAAACAGGCCAAGGGGACACTCAAAACAATAGCAAGGAGGAAAAGTTTTCCTGTTAAAGGAAGCTGAACATCTCCTAAAATAACCCCAAACTTGCCTTAGATTATTTTTTGCCATATATTAAATATATCATTTTTTGTAGTAAAATAAGAAAATACTTTTAAAAAAAAAACTTTAAGGCCTAAAAGCAAAGGCATTTTTTAGTAAAATAACTGTAACTCTGGCCCTGGTCACCAGCAGAGTTGGAGACGGAGAGCTCCCCGCCTCCTCCCTGCACCGGATGTCAGGGGCTGGCTGTGCGGGTTGGCGGGGGGGCAAGCCCTGCTCAGCACACAGCCTCTGGTTCCAGGAGCAGAGCACGGGCTCAGCCTTCCACCACCAGCCCCGCTGCCCAGATACCACCCCAGGCCTTATGGCGCTTTCCATTTTGTCCTTTGACGTGTGATTCTTAGATTTACACCCGTCTTGCTCCACCAGCCTGAGAGCAGGGAGCGCTGGTTGCACCTGCAGCCCTTACCACCGTGGCCGGCACATCGCAGGCACTCATCAAACTTCTGTGCAACGGACGCATGTCCAAATAAGCAGACATCGCTAGCAAAGCAGCTGCAGACCACTGACGCAGACAGAGGAAAAGTGAATGCCCACTCTGAAGGCCAGGGGACTGTCTGCGTTGCTGAGAGCCACTTTCTCTGTGGCAGCTTGGTCCACCACCCTAGCCACTCCCACGTCCTTCTCAGTGGCCTTGCCCGGCTCCCAAGGTTACATGAGCATTCTGCAGCATTTCTGGGGGGCCTTTTCCAAACGCATCTACATCAGAGCTCTGGCCAATCCCCAGGGCCTTCAGAAGCAAGTAATGCCAGGCTGTCTCAGGGAAGGGCCACGCTGGCTCTGGCTGTGAGCTGTCACTGTTCCTCAGCCTGTCAATGGCAGTTTTCCCTCCTCCTGGACACATTTTCTTCCTTCCATCTCTCTTCTATGCTGCTCTAACTCTTTACCAGGTTTTCTCTTATTCTCCTGCCTTGATGCTTTCTTGCACCTAAATATTCCAACCTGGATCAATGACATTAAACTCTCAGCCTGGGACAAATGCCAAAGGAAGACCATCAAAACCACAGGAGGGGACGTTTGTGGCTTCCTTGTCCCCACTGTCTCCTCTAGATAATGGAGGAAAACCACCCACCCAGGCCAGCCCAGAGGGTGGTGGCAGCACCTCAAAGGAAGGGGGTGGGTCTCAGGAAAGGACTTCAGGGCTCTCAGAGGATGGAAGGTGACACGGGACAGGCTAGAAAGGGCCGAGCTCCAGAAGCAGGAGTCATCGCTTCTTCAGGAAGGACCGTGATCAAACTATGTGCCCAGTGACCAGGCTGAAGGAGGCATCGCCTCGGGACAGTCTGCATGCAGGGCTATCTAAATAGAAATCTTTTTACCTTCGGGGATGAAGGATTTAGAATTTGAGCTTTATGGATCCAGACCTTTGCAGTTGGTCGACAAAGGCGTCAGACCGAGCTTCCCGTGTGTGCCCGTCCGCCCCACTAGAGGGCAGCAGCAGACCGGGCCTGAGCGCTCCACTTTAGGCCTTAGGACCTGCATCTTCTCTGACGCAGAGACCAGAAAGGCAGAGGGACGTGGAAAGGAGCAAAGTGGAGGCCAGAAGCAAGGGTACTCCTTGTTTAAATCGGATCATTGCAGCATCCCAAATGGGATCAGCCCTCCCAAGGGCACCCCAGGTTTGGTGGAGTCTCTCGTTGAAAATGGCACGCTTAAACCACAGTGCGAGCATGGGGGGTGGGCAAGGGGGGACACCTGGGGAGACAGTGGCCGAAGGGTTTTAGGAGGTGGCAGGCGACGGCCCCAAGAAATCGGGGGGCGGGGATACGGACAAGAGGGGGGAGGTGGTGGTCCCCGCGCCCCGCACGTCAGCAACCCCCCACGTGGCGCCGCACTCACTACTTGGCGGAGTCGGACAGCTGGTACTCCCGCCTCCGGTCGTAGCACGCCTGGATCCCCGGGTCCTGCCACAGCTGCTTGATGGCCTCCACCTGGTCCCTGGAGAGCATGGACACCTTGTCCACCTCCACCTCCTTGATCATCTGCGCGTTGTCCTACCAGAGACAAGACCATCTTTGGTCAGGCAAAGGAAAGGAGGCCGATCCGCTGGAGACTGGGGACGAGCCTGGACCCGGTTTAGGGGAGAGGTCGCAGGTGCCCCCCGCAGGGCTGCGCACAGCCACGCCGCTCAGCCGCACCAGCGCTGGGTGGACGCGGCTGCTGGGCTCCGGCAGGGCGCGCCCCAGACCTGCTCCCCTTTTCCTGCAGTGCCCTGGGGCCAGTTTCTCCAGCATGCAACACCCGGTAGGCCTGGCGCGGTGGCTCATGCCTGTAATCCTAGCTCTCTGGGAGGCCGAGGCGGGCAGATCGCTCAAGGTCAGGAGTTGGAAACCAGCCTGAGCAAGAGCAAGACCCTGTCTCTACTAAAAATAGAAAGAAATTAATTGGCCAACTAAAAATATGTAGAAAAAAATCAGCTGGCCATGGTGGCACATGCCTGTAGTCCCAGCTACTCGGAAGGCTGAGGCAGTAGGATCGCTTGAGCTCAGGAGTTCGAGACCAGCCCGAGCAAGAGCGAGACCCCCATCTCAACTATAAATAGAAAGAAATTAGCCAAAACAGCTGAAAAATTAGCCGGGCACGGTGGTACGTGGCTGTAGTCCCAGCTACTCGGGAGGCTGAGGCAGGAGGACAGAAAGAAAGACAGAAAGACAGAAAGAAAGAAATTAAATTTGTAACTGGCATCCTATCAGTGAAATTTACTTCCTCATTAGCATGCTGCTCATTTGAATATCTGCATGGCCAATGGAGCCATTTAAAAATAACTATTATTAGTGACACACTAAGGGTTGGGTGGTAGAAGCAGGTTCACCCTGGTACAGGCAATGGGGGGCAGGCATTGTCTTTAGCAAACTGAAAAACAAAAATACCAAATAATCATTACTCTTTCTTTGTTCTTTCCTTTATTAAAAAAATTTTAATAGGCTTTACGTTTTAGAGCAGTCTCAGGTTCACAGCAAAATTGAGGGGAAAGTACAGGAAGTTCCACACAGTCCACTTTTTGTTATCATGCATGACTGATAAAAACTCTTTCCCACTGACTGAACCCCTCCCATTCCTCCCCCCATACCACTGATTGTTATGATATTATTATATTTATTATTACCATGATTATTAAGTAATTATTGCTCTAACACTATTTCTCTATTATTACAGTAATTGTTAAGGTTTTAGTAACAATTACTATGTAATTATTACTACAACAGCAGCTACCATTTATTGGCCACTTGCTATGTGCCAAGGGCTCTACCTACATTATCTGGTTTAATCAATGAAAGGCTAGCATGAGGCCAGAACTCCTTCCAAACCTTAGAAAAGGAAAATGGTAAGGCTGCCTGCATCCACAGCACTCCCACGTGTTGGCCCCAGAGACTCAGCAGCCTTTCCTTGGCTGCCAGCTGCAGCAGATAAACAAATCCCGATGAGAGAGGCAGGACCAGGCCTCTTCTTCCCTCTCCCATCTCCCTGCATCTCGTGGCAATTACATCACCCTGCAGAGCTGGCCGTTCACTGGCAGCTGTGAGTCAGCAAAGCATCTGTTTGGTAGCTCTGATCTCCTCAAGTATACATGGCACCCCCTGGAAAGCTGCTTTTATCTTGCATTGTGCATCCTTGAAATCATCCAACAGGAAGCCAGAGGAAAGGAGGATCTTATAGATTCACTTGGCTCAAGGCAAAAACCAAGGGCTCAGACTAAATCGACATCACTTTGCCCCACATCCGTCACACACATACACACACACACACACACAAATCAATCACAAAAACTCTTCCCCGAGGCTGTGCGGGACCCTCGGCAGGTGGTGTCTCAAACAAGGTACAGGCAGGACAGGTTAGTGGGGAAGTGCCCAGGACCAGGAACTGGGCCCCTGGGTTCTAAGTAGTGCAGCTGGGATGTTCAGTGTCCTCATTTGCAAGATGAGCCAGTGATTTTCAGGGAAACCTGAATTATAAAACTACAAAGTATTACTCAAATTTGAGTAGAATTAGCCTTCATTATTGTAGCAGATGCCTAATAAATACTTCCTGTTTGCAAAAACAGGACCCATTTGCAGCCCTTAAACCATGACTTCGGATGCTGCCTGCTAGTGTACTGTGCATCGTGTGTCCTGTTCCCGGCCAGAGAGGATGATGAATGGGGAGCCTGGACAGTATTACTCCGTCTCCCACCTCCTCCCCTCCTTTGGCCCCCCTCTTTCCTCCCAAATAGGTAAGCTGTGCAGAGCTCTACCGTCTACTTGTAAAATAGCCGTTTTCCTCTATATCCTCACGATAAACCAGGAAATGCCACAAGGGCAGAGTCTACAGTGTCTCCTTTGTCCTTATATCCCAGAACCTAGCACAGTGCCTGGCAGATAACAGGTGCCTTCTATTGATGTGTGCATTGAACAAACACCGGTGGCGCATATAAAATTTATCTAACAGACAGAAAGGCACAAGAAAATAAGGGCAGAAGAAAGCGAGGGCAGGATGACAGAAGCCCATGCAGGTCACAATGGGAGCACGGGGGAGGGGATCAGACAGTCTCAGAGGAGCTGCTCGGGTGACCCTGGGCCGAGCTGTCTTTCTAACTCCGGCTCCTGGGTCCTCACCATCCTCGCTTCTTGTGGCGCATGCCTCTTCTGCTGCTGCTGGCCTACATTTAACTGCTAAATTCAACTCCACTGCTAGGAGTTAGTGCTGTGACAATCACCAGGGCTGTGACAAATACATTTCTGCCTCTCCTTCTCACAGACCCAACGTAGGGTTTGTACTTCAGGAGGAATGTCATGTGAATGGAAGTCACTTCTGTTTCTTTTGGGGAGAAACTTTAAGGAGTCTTTAAGTGAGTAACTCGCCACCTTGCCTTTCGTCTGCCGTGGTGGCTCTGGCAGCGTGAGGCAAGACGGGGTCCCGAGTGGCTGCAATGAGCACAGATGCCCTCACACGCTATACCAGATATGCAGCATGAGTGAGAGATCCACTCCTAAGTTATAATCAACAAGTTAAGTAAGCTGAACTTTAGGGGCTGTTTGTTACTGCAGCATAACCGACAGATGTATTCTGGCTGACACATATTGCAATGGATAAATCCAGCCTTTGGCTCTTCCAGTAGGGAGAAAAAGTAGATCCCAGTGAAAATATCAAAGTGGAATGCAAGCTTCTACATTGGCTACTGGGGAGAAGATACAGACATGACCTCTCGAGTAACCAGAGGAACTCAACCAGGAGAGAAAGACATGTTGTTTGTTTAGCCAAGTGAGGGGAGTTTGGGGAAATCTGATTTGAAAGGAGAGCTCAGGCTCTTTGGAAACCCAACAATAGGACTTGAGTTGGGAACAGACTGCACACCAGAGACCCAGAAGTATTCCAAGTTCCAATCTCTCCATTCTGTCATTGGTTCCTCCTGGTTAGCTTTCCTACCTGCCAAGATGTTTCTTCTGAACCTATTTTGAAATAACTTAAGGCTTGCAAAAATGTGGGGAAAATGATACAAAAGCTTCCTCTATGCCTTTCAAGACTGGTCAAATGTTAACAATTTGCTGTCTTGCTTTATCATTCATCCCTTACCCTGCGTGAGTGTGCATGCAAATACCTTAACACATACGCATACCAACACGCACATTTACTTTTTCCCTAAAATATTTAAGAGTTGCAGACACAATGCCTCTTGATCTCTAAAGATTTCCTAAAATCAAGGACATTGTCTTGCATAATCACAGTGTAATGATCAAAATCAGGAAATTAACATTGACACAATATTATTATCTCATCTTCAGACCCCATCCAAAGTTTGCCTGTTGTTCCATGAATGTCCTTTATCTGATCCAAAGCCCAATCTAGGATCACATGTTGCATTTCGTTGCATTTTGTTGTTTCTTTAGCTTCCGTTTACTTGGAAAAGTTCTTCAGTCAAGTCATTCTGGAAAAGACTGGCCTGACAAGGGTTTGTTCTTCGGTCACAAGTTTTTAGGAGGATGGCTAGGAGAGACAGTGACAGCCAAGGCCCCAGAGAACATTGCAGGGGCAAGTGTTAGGTAATCTATTACCTTCATTTACATACAATTTTCTACCGGACTACGGAATATGGGATGAGTGACTTTTTGTGTACTGTTAACAACGTCTGTATGTTGCAGGAGTGGAGCTTTGTGCATATTTGCCCCAGCCCCGGCTTGGCTAAACAGGCTCCTATGCAGGCAGGTGGGCATTTCATGGGCTCGTTCAACTACCTCCATGGTGCACAGGCTCTGAGAGCAAGGGGGCCTCATACAATGTGGGAAATATTTTGTGTCATTTAAGACTAGCTTCTTCATCTCACGGAAAGAGGGGATGAAAAGTCAGAAGAGGACCGGTGTTAGGGGAGATGTCGTCACTCGGGTAATGAACATGCTGGGTTTGAGGCGGCCAGCTTCCCAGTGGAGATGTCCAGGAAGAAGCAGATGGATAAAATGAGTCTGTCTGTAGCTCATGGGAGGGTCCTCGGCTTGGGGAGCATATTGAATTGAAACTGCCTAACACATTCGTTTAATTGAACTGAAAAAAAAAAAAAAAAGAATTGGTCTCCAAGGAGTAAATATTACAGGAGCAAGCTCAGCAGATACAGAAACATGACCAGGCTCTCAGAACACTGAGCTCATAGCTGGCTTTTCCTCTTTTCCTTTCTCAAACAAAATCCTCATTTTCACCGCTCTGAAGGGAGAACACGGAAAACAGATGTTCTCCATGTGTGTGTCGCCCAGAAATTCCCAGGCTAACAGTCAAAGAAGCTGCTGATGAAGTGGTGCCTTGCCGGTTCCATGCAGGGATGCATGGCTGCTGGGGACAGTCCCTGCCGAGCACAGCGGGGCCCTCTGGCTGGGGCCCAGAGCCCAGCGTGCTGCCCCATCTCCTCTAGAGCGTCTCCACGCGGCCGCCCACCACTGAGGCCCCGAGGGGACAGCGGGCTCGGAGCTTTCTTTTCAAGACTGACTTTCCCCGATTAAGCCACGGTTCTTGTCCTTTCATTAGATAACGA